AGCTTGGGGCTGGCTTCTTGTGCAGCCTCGTTTAAACCGAGCTGCAAGAGAAGCCATCCCCAGAAGGGAGCAATCTGCTAGCCATGGCACAGCCGATCTTGGGGCCAGCTTTTCCTGGCCATAAACCATGCTGCAGGAGAAGCCATCCCAGCCAGGATCTGTGTGCAGCAAGGAGAGACCTCCCCACAGCACACAGGTCCTGGGGTCAGCTTCTCCTGTAGCATGGTTTAAACTGCAGTGCAGGAGAAGCCAAGGCAGCCCCAGGATCGGGACGGCTTTATACTTTTTTTACCAGTATTTTTCTTCTTGGGTCCATTGGACCACGAAAAATTCAGGATTGCCAAAAAGATCCCAGATTCTAAACACCATACCGGCTTTGGTATCCAGGATTTTTCAGAACTACCAATAGACCCGAACCAAAAAATGCCGGTTTAAAAAAAATTGCACACCCCGGTCTAGAGGACAATAGACTTAAATAGTAGAGCCATGAATTAGTTTGTACTACCCAGTTAACAAGGCACATATCCAGATAGGTGGTGTATGAGTTTTTCCTGGCAGCAAACATTCTTGTAGCCAACTTTCCCATATCTCACTCACTCAACTTGCCCTTTTTGTTCTGTTTTCTGCGTAGTAATATGTGCACAGCTGTGGTTCAGTCCTCTTCTTCCATAACCATAGACTTGGTATGTGATCAAGACTGTTGTGGTTTCTCTGGTTGCTAGGTTGCTGACCGTAGACTGTAGTCAGTATAAGTCATGCATGTAGAGTCTTGCATTTTAGAAGCTTTAATTTTCTTGCATTTCACCGTGAAGAAATATGTTCTAGTTTGGCTTTTTAAGTGCCATAGGCTGATCAGGAAAAGGGCATGATTCATCACTGAAAAGTAGCACCATACAAATGGTTTTGGGGCAGGTAATCATCCTGTATGTGCATTTATAGAAATTTACTATCTCTTAAATAACAGTTGTGTTTTCATGTATCGAATCTCTAATCCTGAACAGAGTTGCCTTTCTTCAGCACAGCCATTAAAAAATATTGTATCTGTAATTTTTTTTTACCATGTTGCATTCTTATTCCAGTGAATAAGCCTCACATAGACATTGAGTTAAATTACTTCCTCTACTTTTGTAGATAGAGTTCGTGACTGGTACTAAGAAGGGGACGACAAATGTTCCATCTACTACAACAACAACAGCCAGCACTGTTGTGGGAGGTAAGTTAAACACTCTAACCTAAAATTTGAATTACGTTCTTTTTTGGAATCCAGCCACACAGAGGTTTTGTAATCCAAGGCATCTCCCATCCTTCCCTTCCTTTTGACTTTTAAAACAAAGTGGATTGTCAGTGGTAGCTGACTATGTCAGACATCTGAAATCCTGCAATGAGAGAGAATATTTGGACACTAAAAACATCAGATTCTGTTGCTAGAATAAACTGTGCAGCTTCAATAAAATCAAGAAAATTATACGTATAGGGTTGGATCCTGCCAGGTTTTCCAAAACGAGAGAAGAGAGCCCCTTTTGACCACTGAAAAGGCTATGCTGAGGATCATGGGACCCATCTGGATCAAATCCTCACAAAACATGGCATTGCCTTCTAGTATCGTCTTCTCTGGCAGCGGGTCTTAAGCAGAGAAAGATCTTTCTGAACTTTCTAGATCCTTTAATTGAAGGTAAGAGGATGTGAGCCTTTGTGTGAAAAGATTGTGCTATATACCACTCAGCCACACCCCTTCACCAAAGAACTTTCTTCGCCCCAAGTAGGACTCAAACCCACAACCTCTAGCTTTGGAGGCC